TTCTTTTTCGTTTGAAAGGGATGTATAAACATTTTTGACTGTGATGCTGAGTCAACTGGTCAAGATGCATGCTGTAGAATTTGTAATGCTAATGTCGCTGGAGAGGAGTCACTACGTCCTAGGCTTTTTAAATTCAGTTTGCAAGTATGAATTCAGTTCTGCAGTTTTTAAGCTACTTCAAAAAGCAAAGCTAGCTACACAAATTCAAGCTCACACCTGCTTTCATACCTGCTGACTTGTACCAGCAACATGAGACAAGATGTGTCTCATCTACTAGGCAACAAAGCCTTTATTTTTTTTTAAGTGACTAAATAGTCCAATACTTTTGAAGTTGGAAAAATTATGGCACTTATTTAAGGGTTTGAATATGCAATTAAGCATCTAATTTTAAACCTGCACACTCAATAATATTGGACTTTGCTACAAAGTTATTTCCTTTTTATGGTATCTGGCAACTGCTGAAGTATGCATTAGTACATTTGACACATTAATGCATTCTAGTAATGGAAGTACCTGATCAAGCAGCAGCCAGATGATCACAAAATAGATGTTTGAGGTGAAATCAGAGACTGCAATAAACAAGGGAAAACTGCTTGCCTTTATCATGTACTGATGACTGAAATCCCTATCTCCCATCTGACTTGAAAAACTGGAGCCAGTTGGTGGAGCCCTTTTAGTCTTAGGATCCAGCATGCCCTCTCATCAATTACCATATGCATTATTTTCTTCCATCTTCTTGATGCTTTTTCCTCCCTTTCTCAGAGTCGTTTTTGACAGGAATGTAGTATGTTCCTGTAATTCTAAATAAGCATGTTCTGACTTGCTCATAAATTAAAATCAAATACTTAGATGTTACTAATTCTCTCTAGCATACCTAGTTATAGATACAGGCCTTTCAGTTACTGAGTGGAGCTTTCTCCTGTGTCTTTCAGCTGATCTGAAGCAGTAAAGGTAGCTGTGTGCTGTCTGTGCACGCTGAATTACTGTGGGCACTCCCCAGGTATTGCAGTCACTGGTCCTTGCTTTATGGTATTGCATACAGATCACTCACTTGCCAGATCCTGTACATTAGATACTCATTGAGATGTCATTTGAATAGTCCAATT